AGCAAATTGCACTCCTGGAACCTCTGAGATTAGAAACAAGCCTGAGTAGCAGACAGCTGGTGAATGTGTTTTAAAATTGTCCATTTAACCCAAGGCTGCTCCACTGCATGTTTTTTTAACTCTTATATCTTTAGTTAGATGTGTGATATCTTTGGCCTTTCTATAGACAGACAGTATGAACTGTGTACTTCCTATTGATGGAGCTGCATTTTTACTCACCAGCAGTAGTATGCTGGAAATTTCTGATTCAGAAATAGGTCTTCTATAAATGATTTAACACCAAGGCATTGAAATGCATTTGTGTTTTCCTTCTTAGGGCTATTAAAGATGTAGAGAAAACATTTACCACCAAATTAATGGTTGCATTTTTGTTTTAATCCTGCAGATGGGGTTGATTTATATCTCAAAAAATATGTGCTGCAAAGAGGAATTATAACATTACACAATTTTCCAGTTGTACGTAATTTTTTTTTATGCCAATAATTTTCATCTAGATGCTGTCTCTTTAATGTGGTGGGTTTTCTTTCTCATTAACTGTAAGGCACTGCATTTCATCCTCTGGTTTGTGTTTCTTTGTTGGCTGAAATACTTGTCTGCAGTGACTAGGAAGCTGGGACCAGGCAGAAGGTGCTGGGGCTCTTTCTGCCATCTCCATCTCGTGGAGGGATGTAAAAGCAAAAGGGTGGCAGCTTGCCTGCAGTCTCTTGGGGAGGCAGATCTATCTGAAGAAAAAGAAATAGTGTAGTCCTACATTCAGATAGGAGAGAAGAAGATTAAATGACAGAGCAGAGATTTTTCACAATTCTGGCTGCTCTGATAAAATCTGGCTGACTTTCCCTTGAGGATTATACAGAGATAAGCAGCATTAGCTCATTAGCACCTGCCCTTTCTCATGCTCTGATGAGTGCTTTAACTTCGATGGCAGGTGGTGATGACAGGATTTGCTCTGATCTGGGCAGCAGTACTGGAAGTGCAGCACATCCTGAAGCCTGAGATGTTAGGCCGTGTGCCATTTCTTGCAGCTGAGACTCTAGCTCAGGTCATTGATGTATTTGTGCTTAGATGTTTCTACTCGTTGTGTCTAGTGCTCTCAGTGCATGAAAGCAACCATTAGAATCACTGCACTTAGTTTTTCAACAAATGAACTTTGTACTCACTCCCAAAAGCACAACTCCTGAAGCAGCAGTGGAAATGAGCTTAACTGCATAATTCTGGGGAGCATCATGGTTGGGTCCTTGAAAATTGACCTGGCAAGTATGAAAAAAGTCAAGAGATGTTTTTCAGCATGCATTCAAGTTAGGTCACTAATGATATTACTGCAACATCACAGTCATTGTAAATGTCAGTTCTATGAAAGAAATACACATTAATGCTCTTTAGATGCTGTGCAGAGTTATACTGTGTACCTTGTGGCCATCCATACACATCTCCATGTGATAAAACTGGTCTGAGCAATTCCCAGCCCTGAAATGCTCTGCACCACTTCCTGATGGAAGTTGTCACTTCTTCATATATGCTCGTTGATGTGAGCAGTTGTTCAAGTGATCCTCTGACCTTCAGCCAGAAAAAAGCAAAGTTAAAGTCATTATGTCTTTCCTGGACTATATTTGGATGTGCTCATCTCTCCCCTGGGCTGATTTGGCAGGGATCTTGTGGGTTGGGGCAAGAGGAGAGTTACTCTCCCTTTTCATCAGATGGAGAATCACCACCAGCTTTATAAATATAAGACTTTATATAGTGTCATGTTTTATGCCCAGCCAGCAGCTAAGCACCACACAGCCCCTCTCTCACTCCCCACCAGCAAGTGACCAAATCAAAAGGGTAAAAGTGAGAACTCAGGACTTGAGATAAAGATGCTAAAACAGGTCAGGCAAAAGCTGCATGCACAAGCAAAGCAAACCAAGGAATTAATTTACCACTGCCATGGGCTTGGCTGGTATTCAGCCATTTCCAAGTAAGCAGGGTGGTATTTTCATTAGTCTCTCTCCATGGGCCATTCGGTTTAATGTTGCAATGAACTCCTCTCCCTACCCCTGTTCCCTTTTGTACTCAGACAGAGACTTCAGTCCTTTAGGATTTTGGGCTCAAAGTGAAGCCTTATCTATGTGCCACAGTCTCTTCAGGGGTGTACCTGCTGCAACACTGACATAACCACAGCCACAGGTGCTTTGAGATGCACCTGCTCCAGCATGAATGTATCCACAACTGCTTAGGGCTGTGCTCCCACGTGGACTAATCCCCAGGTTGCATTCCTGTCAACTTGAGTTCAACGCTGCATGTCCAGTGTAGCATCACAGAAATGTCAGAGGTGGCCTGAGCATTTGCCAGCATGCCACTGCTGACATCAAAATGTTCCCATGATCAGCAGTTCAGCAAGCAGCAGAACCAAGGAGCAGCCACTAACAAGCACCAGGCTTCAGTGTGCAGTGAGGCAATCAAGCCCCATGGCAAGCCCAGGAGCCAGGCAATGAATAGCTAAACAACAATAAATTCAATCTAGCACATTCGAATCAAACCTGTCATTATCTCAAACCCTTCCAGCCCCACACTGGCCATCAAAAGGGCCTGTTGTGATTTAACTCCAGCTGGCAGCTGAGCACCACACAGCCACTCCTTCACTTCCCCTGCAGTGGATGAGTGAGAAATCAGCAGGGTAAAAGTGAGAAAACACACGGGCTGAGATAAAGACACTAAAATAGGTAAAGCAAAAGCCACACGCACACAAGCAAAGTAAACGAAGAAATTCCTTGGGAACACCACTTCCCATGGGCAGGCAGGCAGGTGCCCAGCTATCCCCATGAAAGTAGGGACTGAAATGGTGACTTGCGAAAGCAAATGCCATGATTCTTCCTGTCCCCTGCTCTTCGTTGCCCCAGTTTTATGTGCTGAGCATGACACCATATGGTCTGGAATATCCCTTGGGCCAGGTGGGATCAAATGTCCCAGCTGTGTCCTCTCCCAGCTTCTTGCCATCCCCCAGCCTTGTTGCTGGTGGGACAGGCTGAGAGGCAGAAGAGGCCTGGACTGGTGTAAGTGCTGCTCAGCAGTCACTGAAACTTCTCTGTATCACCAACAGTGTTTCTAGCACAATCCCAAAGGTAGCCCCTATGAGCTGCTATGAACAGGGTTAACTCCATTCTAGTTGAAACTAGTACAATGTTAGACGAATTCACTTGGAAGTATATATGTACAGTATATTTATCATTTAAATTAGCCATGCTAGTTGAAGAATGGTGTTTTTCTGATTTTAATTTCATATATCAAAACCTCCCTGTTTACTGGAACACAGAAAAATCTATCTGCTGAATTATTCCATGTTGCATACTTTTCTTGTATCTTTTCTCAGTGACTCTCCTGGTAATTGTTAATTGCCTCTCCTAAAGTTAGGCGTGAATCCAGCACAGATCTGCCTGGCTTTCGCTGCAGACATATCCTTGCCCAATTCTGTAGTGCTACCCAGTGACAAGTACATCTTAATCACGGTAGAGTTGTGGCCTGTTTAAACCCAGAAACACAAAAAAAGGTTAGAAATTAAAGTACTGCTTGCCATGGCAAAAATGTCTTTGGGTTAAGTTCCTTCCATGGGAGATTGGTGATACATATGAACTCTGCACATCACAGTGGGTATGTCTTCCTGCACAAGTCCTCACTTTCACATCCCAGCTTGAGGAGGAGAAGAAATGTTTTTCTGGTGTTTGTATACATTATTCATTTTGGACTGTACCATCGGGTTATGGTCTCGTGTCACTTCTTGCTGCTGTTATAATTTAAAATGTAAGAGCAACATTTAGTTTAAAAAAATCTTCATTGTTACATTGACTCTGAGGGTGTTCTGTCTCAGCTCTGCAGTAATGGCATCTGGGCTGAGAACATTCTCAACTTTATCTCGGGCTGTATTTCCAAGGAAAAAATTTGGCCTTTGGCCCTTAGAAGATAGGCGTTTGAAACAGGAGTACCTTTGAATTATGCTCTGTGCGTTTCCTTTGTGCTGCATCCGCAGGTGTGACCCAGGTGTGTGCAGCAATGCTGAGCAGAGGATGGAGGAGGCACTGGGAGTTAAGCCCTCGTGGGCAAGTGGGTCAAAAGCAGAAGGGAACAAAACTGAAACCAACACTGGCTCTCCTGGGCTCTTTGCTGCACTTAGATGGTTAATCTAATATCTTAATGCAACACTAGGGTTGTCAGAAGCCGAGAGGAAATGCTAATGTGGATCTATTGTAGGCACAGTTGCCCTGCTGCTGATTCTGTGCTGCATCAGGAAAAAGCATTTCTTCCAGGTGATGCCCTTCAGAGCATGGCTAAAATAAAATGAACAAAAAGTTGTTACAGTTCCCACAAAGCACTGCAAAAAGTTGCCTGGAGCTCTGCTTAAAAACCTCTGTAGCACATAAACAGCTCAAGATTTGCAGATCTTGTAACCCATATTGGAAATAATCTTCTCTTTGCATGATCAATAACCACCGTGACTAGCACACCTGGGTAGAGCAAAGGCCTGTTTATTTCGTGTATCACTCCACTGATTTTCTGGCATGCTGTTTGTTGGGGGAGAGTAGCTTGTAGGAGTGTGGTTTTGGTTCTATGGGGCAGTGATTTGAGGATGTGGTAGAAAGGAGCCTGGGGGTATGGGGACAGACACACTGTAAATAGCTTTATTTTTCTCCTATGTGGATGCACTGGAAAAGCCCACAGAAACGGGCCCATCTGCTTTTGTTTTGTTTCCTGACTGAATACTAGTGGACAAACCCAGCAATATGTTTTCCCACTTTTGAACTGTCTAAAACAAAGGGTTTTAACTGGCATCTTTTTTTATTTATAAAGGAACATTTATCTGACTTTATCAGGAATATATTGAACCTCTAGTACAAAGAGCTTGGCAATCAAAACATTTTTTTTCCCCTGAAAGTCCTGAGTTCTGAAGCCCAAAATGCTCTTAGATGGGAAAGCTAAGAGTTTATGTGAGTTGTGACTGTTTTAAAAAAATACTCTTCCTTTTTATACAGTGGGAAGAAATCGGTGAGGTGGATGAAAACTACGCTCCGATACACACGTACCAGGTATGCAAGGTAATGGAACAGAATCAGAACAACTGGCTTCTGACCAGCTGGATCTCTAATGAAGGGGCATCCCGCATCTTCATCGAGCTCAAATTCACCCTGAGGGACTGTAACAGCCTTCCAGGAGGACTTGGGACCTGCAAGGAGACTTTTAACATGTATTACTTCGAATCAGATGACGAAGATGGGAGGAACATCAAAGAAAACCAGTACATCAAGATTGATACCATTGCTGCCGACGAGAGCTTCACAGAGCTGGACCTTGGCGACAGAGTAATGAAGCTCAACACGGAGGTGAGAGACGTTGGCCCCCTAACAAAGAAGGGATTTTACCTCGCTTTCCAGGACGTGGGTGCCTGCATTGCCCTGGTCTCCGTGCGCGTGTACTACAAGAAATGCCCGTCGGTAATCCGCAACCTGGCCCGCTTCCCCGACACCATCACGGGTGCGGATTCCTCGCAGCTCCTGGAGGTGTCAGGTGTCTGCATCAACCACTCGGTGACTGAGGAGGCTCCGAAGATGCACTGCAGTGCAGAGGGGGAGTGGCTGGTGCCCATCGGGAAATGCTTGTGCAAGGCAGGGTACGAGGAGAAGAACAACACCTGCCAAGGTAAGGGTTTGCAGGGAGGGCGCCGTGCTGAGCCTCCGAGCTGATGTGCGGTCTGGGCTTTCTTCTCTCTCGTGTTCTTTGTGCCTGGTTGAGTTGACAGTGGTGGGTCAGGTTCTCACTTCCACTGGGGTCCTTTGAGTAAGTGTTACAGCAGGAAGACAGAGGCCTGGGCTGGATGTCGTGGCACTTGACACCTGTGCAGGTGCTTCTGGTGCTTACAGAGCTGCAAACAAGGAGAATCTGGCATTGAACTGTTACCTTTGGAGCACTTCAATTGCCTCATGGACCCAATAGTTAGTCTTGTCTGTTGGCTAGAGATTTGTTATTTTTCCTCAGTATCAGGGTTTCCTTATGAGTCTTACAAGACCGGTTTCTTTTTTTTTTTTTCCTAGACTGTACCAGGGAATGTTTGAAGTTAATCTCTCTATAGAAGATGCATTTTGTTTTTGTATTTGAAGGAGTGTGTTTTTCTGTCTTTATCACTCTGTGGGGGGCTGGGTATTTGATGTGGTGTGAGTTGATTGATTTTCCTCTCTGGTAAATAATTTAATACAAAGCTACTCAGCTGTTCAGAGTTAAACTTAAAGCCCCACTGATAAAAATGCTTCCATATGTGCTGAAGTTTTCCCACAAGTAGCTGGCTTCCAAGTAGAGGTTCCAAAATTGCTGGTCAGCATAGGTCTCCTGAATCATCAGAGGCCTTGTGCAAGAGATCTAGGGTATCTAAAGTTCAAGACCTTAAAAAGAATACTTACAAAGAAGAACAGTATACTCTGAGTGTAAAATCTCATTTTATGGTTTGCTGTATTACATATTTGTTTATAAAATTTGCCCTTCTATTGCAAATACATAACAGGTAGCCTAAAACTAAATTGCTTGTAAAAGAGAAGAGTAAAAAAATAAAGATTTTAATACAGTTTGCTTTTTGCAAAATTAATATATATTGGTTATCAGTCACATCTTAATTGGTTTGTCTTTGCAGACCCTAATAATGGATAGCAATAGATACTGTGGGGAAGGCAGAGGAATTCCACTTCAGCTGAAGTCTGTGTTGCATTTTCTCTTCACCTCACTCCAGACACTCATTGTTGGTGTTTGTAGTGTGGTACAATGAATAGATCAGTACATATCCACAGCAAACTGTGGCCTTGATTCTTTAGTTCTCGGTCACATGCTTCTGACCCTCAAGATAGTTCAAATTTCTTCAAAGGTTGACATGGAGAGAAAATGTAGTATTTGAGATAAATGTGTGTGTTGGAGAAACCTCTACTAAACAGCATTTGGAGTGGGATTTTTGACCAGAAGAGTCTCCTTTTTCTACAGATGTAGTTAATACAGCAAAATCTGTCTTGGTTTTGCTTTTCCTGCGCTAAGAAAGATATTTCTCCTTTTAGCGGGAAAGAAGAGACTGACTCGATGTTTGATGCTGTATAATGGGGCAGCTAAGATCTACATTGTCCCAAGTTGAGGAAATATAGACTGCCAGAGACAAGGGATGTTGGTCGATAGATCTGCAAAGTTTTGCTTAATTATGGCAGAAAATAGCATGTTACAAAGTGACAAGACACTGGTTTGGTGCTAGGTCTAGACACTGAGGTCAGTCCACCTGTAAGAATTTCTGGAGGAAAGGAGTCCTTTATTAGTCACCTTTCAAGTCCTGTCCTCTGATGCTGCATTTCTCAAAGTACTCTTAGTATTTAGTATTTACTTAGTATACTCTTAGTGCTCACAAAAAACCAACCAAACAAAAACTATTAAAAAGCCGACTATGAACCAAACCACCAAACCCCAATAACTAGAGATTTAAACCAGAAACCTGAGACTGTCATTGAGGAAGCTGCTCTGTCTGTAGAGGGGTTGCATCTCTGGCAGTGTTCAGATAGCAATCCGGTGTATGCTTTCAGAAGACCTTAGAGGGTAAAGGTTGTGCTTTCTGGTTTTGGGTGTAGGTTGGGGTTCTTTTAAATTTGTTTTTCTTAATCAAGAGGACATTATTTGGCCTCTCAATTTATGACTGTGTTGGGTAGGCCTGTGATCATAATTAGGAAGTGTAAAGATGCTTTGTGGTGGTGTATCCCTGACATGTTCCTAAGGTATATCCACATAAACTGCTCTTTACCTCACCTACAGCCTGCACCCTCGACAGGATTTTTATCACTTTGTTGCTTTAGAGGTGTTAAAACCAGTAATTCCTTTTTGTGGGATAGCCCTAAATTCCACCACCAGATCAATGGGACTTGAGTGCCTATGGCAAATTCTGTTTGAGGGCCCCATTTGGATGCTCTGTGTTTAACCCAGGTCATTGTGTCAAGCATTCCCTGCTGGCTTGCTCCAGGATGCTCTGTTGATAGGAGGCGTTCAGCCTTAGGCAGTTCAGGAGGTCTGTGTTCAGCATGTATGGGAATCCATGTCAATATCCAGGGTGAACAAAATGCTTTCTGGTTTGGTTGTTGTTACCTTCACAAAGACAAGATTCTAGAACAGCGAAGTTAAACTTTGCATCCCTAAGCAGAGTAACACCAAGAAAAGCCCTATGTATTTGTAAATGCTGAACGGGTTTTTTTTCACAGTCTGATTGATGCTAAGGAAATGCACTTCATGCTCCTGGCAGGCATAATGATGGCCTTGGCACTCTGCTGTGTAGCTTTCCCAAACACCTAAATCACTTCTGACCTTTGGTTTGTAAATCACTTGGGTGCATCTTGAAAGTGGTCTCCCAGTTTGCTTTCACTTAGTAAGCAGGTTTTTCCTGACCATGCTTTGGGAAAACATTTTCAACCCAGAAGAGCCTGGCTTTGTTTATTAAAATTTCTACTGCAAAGATGACATTTTCCAATCTCTAGTGTCACATCTGGACAGAGCAGACTACACTCTTTTATTAGAGGTGATGTAAATCCCAGTCATCCTCACAAACATATGGGAACTATTGAAATCCCTTCTGCCTACAAATCATTAATTGGCAACGATGTTCTGAATTCATCATCTTGTCAGCAGGGTTCCTGTTTGAAGAAGGCACTGACAGTAACAGCTGAGCAATTTCACTCACTGGGGACTCTGAGGTTGTAAATATGACATGGTCTAATCTCCTTATATAATGTGCTCACTTTCTCAATTAATATAGGCAGCTAGGTAGTGGTTACTGTAAAAAACCCAAACTACTTGGATTTTTACACCTCCTTTGGCAACATGTTACATTTATCAGCAAATGCTAGGGACAGCTAGAGGTAAATTGTGACTGTGTTTGGACATGTTTGTAAAGGACCAGTGTTAATGTTCATTATTCACAAGAATATATTTCTGTACTAGTTAATAAGAGAAAAGAAAGCAGTTGCTCTGTGAGTTTCTGTGCTGGTTTCCAGAGTGGTGGTTTGGTACCACCAAAGGACTGATGGTTATGGACTTTGCCTCAGTTCAGCTGATGCTTTCTGAATGGATCCTTGAGGAAAATGCACATTTTCATGTCTGCTTTGCCTGTTTCAAGTTTCGTAATGGTTGTCTCTGCCCTAGGAGGCAGTACTCAACCAAAGCTGAGGGACAGATCCCAAAATGCTGTAAAAATTGGTGTGGTGCCACTGACATTTCTGCCTTTACCCATTTGCGGGTTTGACATAAAAAAAATTATCTGCCCAGTCTCTGCCTTCCATTTTCCTGCACTGGCATAGGTGAGTTTCATTGTAACTTCAGTTTTAGTCATTTACTGTAAATAGCAGTGCTCACCGCTGGGGCTTGTGTAGGAAATTAATACCGTGACAAGGGCACCTTCTTGCACTTGTCTTTGTATTCATCCTCACCTTCAGCCCAATATGTTTTCAGTGAGCAGCAAGAAGTATTTACTTGAATGCCTTTAAAGACAGTTCAGCCTGTGCAACTGGAAGAGAGGGGATGTTGACAGGTTAAGCTAATGAGAGCCAAACATACTTGCAGTGGTAAGGTCCTGCTAATGTCCAGTGGGCTGCAGACTAGCAACTGCAAATGCAATAGATTTTGCAGAGCCTGAGCTTTTTTTCAGATGACTTTAGATCTGAAGCACAAATTAATTAAATATTTGAGTAAAGAAAAAATGGAAGAAAAACTGCACAGAAGGAGAGCCAAAGTGAAAAGGTGAGTAATGAGTACAGGAGGTCATGACACTCTCCTTTCCTGAGAGCTGCCGCTTGAAGAGACATCAAAAGGAGTACAGTTGGTTTTAGCTAGCTAGAAGGTACAGACAAGGTTACAGATGTTAGATGTGGACAAAATAATGGAGGAAAACTCAGTGATATCTTTCTTCACCCTTGCTGTTTTCTGAGGAAGAACACTGAAATGGAGGGTTGAAGGAAAGATGAGTTGAGGTATTGTTTGTGGCTTTAGAAAGGAGCTGCTGCCAGAAAAAAAATCCTGGATTTTTTTTTTTTTTTTGTAAAACACCTCTAGAATGTTCAAGCCCTTCTGCTGTCTTAAATATTGATGTTTGTTTGATTATTCTTCCCTTAATCAACTTTGCTGAACATACCTCAATGCATTTACAAAACCATATTTATTTTTGCTGATTGTTCATTACTTGTGTTGTGATTCAGCTGAACTCTTGCCAAGAGAAATGATTTTCTTACAGAAAACAAGGGCTGCAGAAAAACCTTGTTCACAGGTCTTTTATTTCGGACTTAATTAAAACTAATTGACATCTAGCTTATGTAGTTTAGAAGTTTACCTGCTGAATCAGTTCTTGGATGATTTTGTTGCTGGCTGATTGGGGCTGAAGCAGAGCTACTCATCTTCCTCCAGAAGCGGAGCAATCAGTGCAGACGGTTGGAAGGCACTTTCCCAGAGCAGTGATTGCCATCCCGTTGATCAGCCACTAGAAGGATATTCAGAGGCAATTGTTTATCTACAGCTGTGCAGGGGCGAGCAGGCAGAGGCAGTGACCCTTGGCTGGTGAGGAGCAGAAGGCACCATCTGTGGAGAGATGGGAGACAACTGAGGACAACATAGGGATGGCAGAGCCATGCTTTACGACTCCTATG